GTCGGTTCGAATCCTACTGAAAGAAGTCTGATGAGGAAATGTGGTGATTTCCGAAATAGCTATCACTTCTACCATTTTTTCAAATTATTTATGCTTTTCCACAATAAGTTTTCACTGAAAACGGCGTCGAGCTCATAAAAATTGTTGAATAAAAAATTAAAATATTTTGGGCAAATGACCCCATCTAAAAAAACGATATACATATCCATAATCTACGCCTCAAAATTAAGTTAGCGTGTCTCGCCTTTTTTGTGTGTAATTTTTGCGTCCCTACAGTTAAATTGGAAACTTAATATATTTACATCAATATACTGTTTCACGTATAACTCTGTGTTGGGCCAAAAAATATGCATTTCAGATCAGCTTCCTTACAAAATTAGGGTTTTGCGCGTGCGGCTATACACCTTTAGTTGCACACACCTATAACTCAAAACACATATCCATCCATACTACTACTGCAGCTTTTCTACTTTTTTAAAACTTTGAAATTCTATTCATTAATTTACTCCCTCTAATGCAGGCTTTCGAAGAGTTGGAGGAGCTTTTGTCACGTCATAATATCTGCATCGCTGTCAAGGAGAAACTTGTCAAGGATTCCGGTGTCGCCGAGGAGATTGCATATGATAATATTGTGCAAAAGCTGCTAACAAAGCCACGTGCACGAGGTGAGTAAATTTTAGCCCTGTTAGCAGAAGTGACTTGCAAAGGAAGTGTGAACGATGAATAGAAGTTGTTAAGAAGTATGAGCGAGCTCAGCGTTTTCGAAATTTATTATATTTTGCAGACGAAAATTTTTGTAAATTATTAAATTTATCAACAATTCACTGCAGTTAATTTCTATTTTGGAATATAAATATAATAATAGTTCTCCGCGTCCTTAGTTCTCTGAAAACTATTCACGAATACTACTTTGCGAATTGGTAAGTCTAGCTTGCTAGCCTCAAAACTCTCGCTCGCTGACGCTCGTCATTCGTTCGGTTCAGCTGGCATATGCGCTGGAAAACAAGTCTAGCGCAACATCAATGTGAATAGCTGGGCTTCATTCAAACTTGAGTAGCGTTCAACATTCTAATACCGCTTTTCGCATCCACGCTCAGATGACGCATTTCGAATGCTGATTTTCGTTGGAACTCTTAATCATCCATTCACTCATTCAGTCATTTAGTCAACCGTTTGTTTATTTGATTTACACGACGCTGAATTGAGCTGAATGACCAAAGTTGGCAAAAGCTGTTGTAAACGACCAGTTGTTGGCAGTTTTGTGCCATTAACAAGGCGGAGGCGGAGGGTTGGCTAACAAGTTTAAAATACTCATTTAAGTTTCATGAACAATCACAGCTGCTTGAAAGCAAACAGAATTATAGCAATGTTAGAAATGCGACTAGTGTGGGGTGGCAGCATGTTGGTCGATAAAAAGAGGATGTCTATAAATAATGCTGATAGGATGATGCGGAGCGTATGCTGGGCACTGAAACTGATTCTGGAATGTTAAAAGCACATTTTTGTCGGTTATAACTAGTGATTTACTGCAAGCTAACACAAGAAAAAAATTAAGTTCATTTTGTAGGAAAATTTTAAATTTTTGGAATACAAGCTTAAGTTCCAAAGTCTATAGTAGAAAAAAAAAACAAATTTAAACAAATTCTGTTTTACCGCAGTCATTAGCCATAACCTGCTTTAGGCAATCACAAAAATATTTAAATTTTTTCTGACATTCTAAGTTCCCGAAAAAATCACGAATAAAATAAAACCCGAAATTAGACGAATATATTAAAGCATGTCGAGAAGTGCAAAAAAAAATATACAGAAACCTTCAAAAAAAATTCGAAAAAAGACGCAAAAAAACTCTCATAAAAATCACAAATAGTGTGAAAACCCCCAATAAGTATAAATCATTTATTTTTTGTGTTTCTTGCTAACTAATTAGAAGCAGCAATTTTTGATTGTACAATCTGATAATAGCTTCAATTCTGTTCTATTCCAGACGCTAGGCTTTCAACTTTTTCCTTCCTTTCTTAGCCTAGTTTATTTCCAAATACATGCAAGTCTTCTGACACTGTCTTCAACCACTTAAAGTTGCGGCGCATTGAATTTTTCCAAAATGAAGCACGCTTATAACTGTCCCAAAAGAATTGCGTTATTTTCTAGAACTGCACAACCATTGCGCTTATTTGCATCAAGTAGGTGCCATTCTGCTTTAGTTTCTTTTCTTTCTCAGTGAAATATGGCGCTTTAATTTCATTTTTACGGCCGAAACTTCTTAGCCTTTCACAGCGGCAGACACCAGCGTACACCGCTTGGGTTATGAATATTTGAATAAGTAGGTATGCTGTACGTGAGACAGTCAGCTGACAATATCTATAATAAATCTCTTGAAAGTGATTTTTAATGCCCTCAGTGCTTAGGCACTCAAACGTGATATAAGTTTAGTGCATAAGAGAATAGTACATAACGCCATTTGAAATGCAAGAAGACATAAGAAGCATCGTCGCTGAAATTCAAAAAGTTGTAACGAATAAAAAAATTCAAAATTCAGTTTTTGATTGATATGATGAATTTAAGCGAATTACAACTCCCACATCATTTAATGAAAAATATTTAAAAAATTTTAGTTACGACTTTTTCCATTTCAGCTGCAAAGTTGTTACGTCTTTTTGCATTGCAGGTGCAGATATGTACATCCAATAAATGTTGCTCATACGACTTGTTGGCCGGAATGCAAATTTTAGCAAGTTGTTGTAAAACGAAAATGCACTGCTACAAAGTATCGAAGCAACTTGTGTCTGGTGGTGTAAAAGCGGCAAGATCTAGTAGTTTCTTTTATTTAGTAAAATCAGACAAGAAACAAATTCTTTAACCATTTTTGGGTAAATTTAATTCTAAAAGTGCATACGGTTTGCAATATACTTAATAAAACGTACGTATGTACATACTAAAGTGCATATACATATATGTACATAAATTATGCACACAGTAAACGACTCAGCATGTGACTTGATAAATGAGTTGGAAGTGCCATCCCTGGTTGCTCTTAGCAGTGAGAGGAGTTGAAAAATTAAAAAAAAAATCGCTATTACCAACAATTTGCAGTAGCCAAGCGTCAGAACATGCCAACCATGGCAGCAGACTCACAAGTCAGAAATTGAAAAATTAAAATTTTAAATACACACACATACATATGCAAGTATGTAGGTACATTAGAGTGGTTCAAAGTGTTTTTCAGGCACGTTATGAAAAATAGTTGGTCAAATTTTAATATTTTTGAAATTCCTGTAAAATTGTTCACTGGGTTGGGTTGGAGAAATATTAATTTTCGATCATAAAGTATATATTTCAACAATTTTGTAGCATTTATACGCAAAAATGTATTTTCCCTGAATAAAATATAGTGAAAACTTCAAAGACCCGGTGGCACGGTTAAGTATTAATCGATTTCCAAATTAAAAAACGGTAGTCAATATTTTCGGTATTCTTAAGTTCTGGGGGTTGGCAGCGTGAAAATTTCAAAAAGTTGATTTTCCTGCGTATTTTTAGACCACCCTAACGTGCATATGTATGTACATAAGAAAAAATAGCTGTAAAAGCAGAGTAAAAACTAAGACACAAGAATGGAAAAACACTAAATGTTTGCAAATGATTTATGTCAGAAAGTGGACAGCTGGGAAAAACAGATAACCACAAAATGGTATGAAAATGCACCGAAATTGCTAAGTAAGAATGTCACTTGACATTGCAGTAAACTCAATTGCTTGGATACACCAAAAATATTAAATTTCTTCTCCATGCTTTATTCACTTGTCTATGCACTCTATGCGGTCTGCTGGGCCTAACTTAGGTTTTACAGCACACACAAAAGTTTTTTTTGTTTTGACAAAAAATAAAGTCACTTTTTATATATCAGATTCTGTGTACGTATGTATATATGGGAAAGTTTTAAATTCAAAACCTTTCACACTCAATCCTTGTGTAATAAATCAATTTTGAAGCGCTCCGTTCACACATGTCTGCTGGCATCAGGGCCAATCATTGAATAAAAAATGAGAAGTTAAAAAGTAGCACATTCAAATTCACTTTCAATTCATTCACAATCATAATTATACATATGTTTGCCAGTGCTTTCCTGCATACGCCTACATATCAGTTTTTTACATTCGTTTAAGCAACAGAATCACTTATCAGAGCATAGTTGAGCAACAAATGCGGCAACGATAAGGCATTTATTGAAATTTTTTTGTTTGTTACTATGCGAAGTGAGTTCGCATTAAATTAAATACAAAAAAAATTATTATTCATGTTCAGAGGATCACTATAGCATTCGTACGCTTAAAAGAAAATACATGGGTACATATGTATGTAGGTCTGCACTCGCAAATCGCTTCATCATTTTATATCTTCACACCATTCCGCGCCCGCACTGCAACGCATATAAAACTTGTCGTAAATGAGTCTGCAATTCGTTTGCTTGCTCATTCATTTCAATCACAGTATTTTCTCCTTTTTTATCTAGCAACCTCTTAGTTTTAAAATGCAAGAAAGTAAAATTTGAAATGAATTCAGAAGAAATGCCAAGCAAATCAGAAATTCCATTTATTACCTTTAGTATGACTGACATGCATTGAGTGAGTCAAATTGGTCATGTCAATGACAAAACGAATGTCCTAGCATGAAAAATTGCTACTCTTGACAACTGTAAAATATCGAAGATAATGCGAGCAGACAGTAGCAGTAGCAAATTTTTCACATGCGTGTAAAGTAAAAAAAATTAAAAAAAATATAGGCAAATCAAAATGGAATCAAAAGTAAGGTTAAATGCGCTCCAGCTATGGAGAGACCTCAGATTCGGACATGAAAAGGTCCTTCCAACTCACTGGATAACCTACGACAACTAGATTATACTACTCCTCTAGTCTGTTTAGACAACAATCCTAGAGAGAAACGCATGAGAAGCTGGCAGATGGTTTCAAGCTAAATAAAAGAGAGGAGTACCGGGATTTGTTCTAGTGAACTCGCGTTAAACCTTAGCTTCCGCTTACCAGAACATTTTAGAGTTTTTCCAGCAGAGCTAAATGCCTTAATAGCAACAGATCAGTGGCTTACAACCCCCGCCCCTCCAGAACGCCATATCGTTATTTATTCTGACAGCCAGGCAGCTATTCAATCTAAAGCCTAACGGATCAACGTCCAAAGTAGCTATTGAATACAGAGAGACTCTCAACCTGCTGGCATCAAAATGTTGCTTGACTATTTTGTGGGTCCCCGAACACAGAGACCTTCCTAGCTTGCAAGCAGTGGGACGTATATATCCGACGTCAATTCTGCCTTAAGTTTTGGACATGAATACCTCGAGCCTTTCGAAAATACAAAACTCGTCGAGCAGGTACATACCAAATGGGCTGTAGTAATCGCCTGCCATACTAGATACCAGGCCAAAAATTAATGTAAAACGTTCCATGGCTATCACTCTGCTGTGCCGCTGTTCTCCCAGTTTAGTAGTCGGCGTTCGAACATTCTCTATGCCACTTTCCAAAACGCACACAACCACTTCTTCAACCAGTACTTTTTAGGCCCGAAATCGGCGAATATTCTCAATATTCTTTCCTAAATCGAACCCACTCGGTGGTTAAACCACTAAAAGCTAATTTCTCGAATAGGTTTTAAGATTTATCTGACTTTTAAACGAAAATTTTGTTCTGGAAAAGTGTGTTTAAATTTTAAAACCTACATGAGAAAACGGCACTGAGGGTGAGAGAGCTTCCGGCAGTGGAATTACAATGTATTGCTTTCATATTCTGCGCTGTGCGAGCCACTCTCACCTACCCTAAGAGTGGAAATTTTTAAATTAATGTGAGTAGAAGAAGCTAAGCAGCTTAGATTTTGATATCGATTTATAAGTAATGATTTTTTTCTAAGTCCATAAAAAGGTTAAAAATACTGAAAATGCATATTTTTTTATGTTTTCATTTTACACGAAAATTCGCAGCTCTTTTTAAAAACAATAAAAAAAAATTGCTACCTGAACATGGGAATGTATCTATACATATCGAATTCATATTGAATTCGGATCGCAACATCTGCTTTTTCTAAATTATTTGCCTTTATATCTTAATCCCGAAAGATGTCCAGTAATATTGGGTATCAATATCAATTTGTTCGCATAAAATCCCTTGAGTCGGATTTTAGTAATTTAATCATCTAGGTAAGAAAGGATTTTATGTTAGTTGTAACACGCATTGTACTCATTTATTATTTCTCTAATGCGCCTCCAGCCTCAAGTAATTTGAAATCTTTGCCTTTGTATACAGATATGTAATAAAGCGTAGCGCGCAAACGGGTTCAAACGTAAAAATATAAATGTATGAATACGGTGAAAGTACATCGATATGAACGCACAGACTTTTCTGCCACCTTGTTGCCACCTCCACACGCGGCTTGACTTTTAACAGCTTGATGTTGATTTATGTTGAAAAATTAACCCTCTAGCTCCTTTTTATACCCGAGCGCACTTGTGCACGGTTGTTTGTAACAGCCAAAACGAATCGAGATAGATATAGACAAATGTATACATAAATGATCAGGATGAAAAAAAAAATCGATTAAGCCAAGTCTGTCTGTCCGTCCGTCTGTCCGTCTGTCCGTCTGTCCGTGTACACGATAACTCGAGCAAAAACTGAGATATCTCAACGAAATTTGGTATGTAGGTTTCCCTTAATCCAAGGTAGGTTGGTATTGGGCGAAATCGGACTTTAACCACGCCCACTTCCCATATAACGGTAATTTTCAGAAATACGAAAACTGCGATATTTTAGTAACTACTGGAGATTATTCACTCAAAATTGATATTTATAATAAGTTTTAGACGAAAAATAAGAATATTATAAATTTTTGGAAAATGGGCGTAGCCACGCCCACTTATGGTTACATGTGTATATCTTGGTAACCGCTGCACCAATTTCTTCCAAACTTGGCACAGTTGTTGGCCTTGGTACAGCATAAAAAACCGCCGAAACTTTTTAAAATCGGACAATAACCACGCCCACATCCCATATAACGGTAATTTAGAGAAATACAAAATCTTCGATAAATCAGTAAATATTGAAGCTAATTTATTCAAAATTGATGCTTGCAACAATTCTTTACCAAGAAATACGTTTATGGTAAAATTTTGGAAAATGGGCGTGGCACCGCCCACTTATGATCACATATAAGTATATCGGTAACCGTTCTACCAATTTGTACCAAACTCGGTATGGTTATTGTACTTGCCACGTGTAAGCAAAACGTTGAAAATTATTGAAATCGGACTAAAATAACGGCCGATTCTCATATAACGGTAAATTTAAGAAATGCTTGAAACTTCAATATTTCGAAATTGAAGGACGCTAATTTACTCAAAATTGATACACCTCGGCTTACCATCTAGCGGAAGGTTTCGGAAGGGTGAAAAAACATATATTTAATACTTGCGTCGGGTATTTAATGTTCGGCTCCGCCCAAACTTAGACTTTCTTACTTGTTTTATTCCAATTTCGCGCATTTACCCTTTTTTCATTGACTACGTACATATCTCTGGCTCCAATTTTTTCGATTATTACTTCCTTTTTCGTACAAATAAGTATGCAAGAAACATATGGCTGTAAGAATCAAGCCAAAAGCGCAGGTAACACTAAAAAGGTTAAAGGTAAAAGTTCGATAAAGGTTCACTGGGGCGTATGATTGATAATTATCAATTATTATTATTATAATAATTACAAATCTCTTCATGCAGCAGAGACTGTGTGCGGGTTGAAATTTACAATCGACATAAGAATGTGTGCCACCTGCAGGAAATTTTTGTGGAGCGCGGTTCAGCAGAAAGGCAATCTTTTTTATTGCTTGATTGTAGGCCGCAGAAGGAAAGGTGATGCAAAGTTTCCAATAACTCCCTACAAAGGCGGTAATTTCGCAAATTGCTTGCAAGTTTGCACATAGAATGCATAAAGCTTAAAAGTTATGACTCATTTTGAAGTCTCTGATTGCAAAAAAAAACTGCTGCCACATGTACACTTTCAAAGACTTTCAAGTTGAAAATTTCCGACCTTTAGTTCGCAAGTATTCGAAGCAATAGTATAAGATAAATTTTTAAACGCAAAGTATTTATTTATCGTTTTTTTTTGATTTATCTACTTCACAAATTTCATCCACTTACTGAATTTTCTTACCTCCATACAACTTTGTATATAAATACATACATATTTGTCGTTGTAGAGTGCCAACAAGTAGGCCATATTTTGCGCCCGAAGCCAAAGTTGATAGCCATCAAGCACATGTGTCACACACTTTTCATGTGCCATCAACACCTCTTTCCGGCTAGCACATTCACATTTCAAGCGTAACATAGTTAACCCACTTCCTGGCTTGATGGGTTGCAAATCGCAAGAAAGCGCACTGTTTTGTCGTCGAAAAGGTAGAAAGCTAAATTTTCTTGACACACTTTTGGCATACACGCGCGAGCATAACATTAGAAATTCCTTCTTTTTTTTATAGAAGCCTAAATTTAACGCTTCGTGGCACACAAATGTGGCAGCATTTTTGGAGCAGCAGTATGCAGCCAAGCGCAAATGCGCCTTTAAATATGCGCCGCTTTTTTGGCATCGTTCTAACGCAAGCCGACGAAAGTACACCAAAGCCATTTGTGAATTTCAACAGGCTGTTCGCCAAGGGAAAAACATCTGCTTTATGCAAAGCCACACAACTTAGGCAAAGCGTGTTTGTGCTGTGTCGCCATTGGCAACTAGTTCTCCTGCATTCTATGGAGCTTTTTATAAAGTCAGTTCGCATGCTGAGAAACGAAGCTGCAACAAAAGTTTATCGCCTTGAACAAATTTGTACATTTTGTTTGGCTTCAAATGCTTCTCTTCTTTTTTTTCGATATAAGGAACGTGTGTTGCGATATTGCTAAAAAATAGAACGCATTGCGACGAAATCTAGTTAAAGTCGCTTTTGTAGAAAAATGTACACTTCTGCAAAAAAAAAAATCAGCAAAACTTTCGTAAAAAACTACCAGTTTAGATCTAATTTCTGATAAGAATGCGCATTGCACGGGCGCCGCATTGCAACAGAAAAGTATCAACAAAAATTCTATTCTATTTTTTTACGTGAAACCCTATGAGATTGCAAGTCAATTATTTTTATTAATTCCTCAAACGTAAATTCTTCAAAAACCCTTTGTGGCCTTTTACCACTTTGTATACTTTAAGCGAAATTAAGTAACTAAGAACTACTTTATGCGCCCATCGCCTCTGTAATATAACTTCTCTATTATTTGCTATTTCTACTTTCCTTTTCCCCTTGCAGGTGCCATCATATTCGGCTCCGATCAGGAAGTGCGTGAGGTAATGCGCGCTGTGCGGCGCAATAATGCGACTGGGGCATTTTCATGGATCGGCTCGGATGGTTGGAGTGCGCGCAACCTGGTCTCCGACGGCAATGAACCGGAGGTGAGTAATTTGTATGGTGAATGAGCAGCAAAAGCATAAAATGCGTGCTCATAATTATAAATGCATAAATGGGTAGGCGGTCCGGAAATGACCACTTATAATGGTAAGTACTATTTAGCCAAGAGCGCGACGGCAACGAGGAGCAAGCATATTTGTACATTAGGGTGGTACAAAATAAGTTAAGTCCGAATTTTTCTTGCTCTCACCTCTATTTTTAATTTTGAAATCAAAAAATATTTATAGGTAGCTCAAAGCGCACAAAGTGTTTCATATATTTTATAAGGGAAAAAAATTTTTTTGGTAGTAGTATGGAATTTTTGAAAATCAACATTTTTCGATCGGAAAACTCTGGTTCTCTTCAGTAGACTTATAATAACAATACTCAATTGTTTATTTAACCATTTTTAAATCTAAAGATTTTTTAGGACCCAACCCCCCACCAATTGTATTTTCTGGGGGTTTTGGCGGACCTATCAAAGATAGTTACTATGAACAAATGGTTAAATAAACAATTGGATAATATTATTGCGAATCTCCTTGCAAAGAAACAGAGTTTCCCGATCGAAAAATATTGATTTTGAATAAATCTACGAAAAGTCTTTTTTCCCATATAAAACAGGTGAAAAAATTTGAGCGCATTGAGCGGCCTCTATATATTTTTTTGATTTCAAAATAAAAAAAATAGGGTTACATTTAATCCTAGGCGGTGAGAGCATACAAATGCCGACTCTACTTTTTCCCATGCATTTTTGAACCACGCTAATGTACATACATACATAAATGCAAATTATTGCTGTGGGGTGTACATTCCATTAGCAAAACAAATGATACAAAAGCAGAAAAATACACAATTTCCGTACTCGCTACAATCTCATGAGCTCATGCATTACATAATGCTTTTTTATGCTATGTCCCTGATCCGCTCCTCTAATTGAAGGCAGCGTGAATAGTGTGATGGCATGTGAGTGCGAGTGGGTGCATAAAGTTATGCGGTTGTGGTTGTGTAAGGGACAAATTGATTAATGAATTGCTGTCGGCGATAAACCAACTAAGCAGAGTTGTTGGTTGTACAAATACGTAGAAACATGCAAGCATTTTATAAGTGTTGGAGTATGTACTTACACATGCGTATGCACATACATACATATGTATATACTTTACATTACTTAGTGTATGCATATGGATAAGCTGATAGAGTTGTGAATTTGGGCGTTGCAAGGGAGCTGTCAGCGTAAATTATTGGTTGAGCAACTCGCAAATGTAGTACCGTTTTAACCAATGTTTCTTATGAATACACGAAAATGAACGGTTAAGGAACATGGGTCGGTAACGATTACCATTATCATTACGAGTGCAGCTAAAATTACCATTACCATTAACACAACCATTACCGCTACCATACCATTACGATTGCATCTACGATTACCATTAACAAATATTGTTGTGTTACCATTACTATAACTACAACCATTATCATAAAGATTACGTGTGCCATTACCATAGCCATTATAATTACCATATCATTACCATTACAATTATCACAACCATTACCATTAACCGTATCAGTACATTTACCATTACCGTTACTAATACCATTACCATTACTATTAACATTATCATTACAATTGCCATTACCGTTACCATTATCATTACCTTTTACCATTACAATTACAATTATCTTTGCAATTGCCATTACTTTTACGTTGGAAAAGGGTTGCGGAATATGATTACGTGAATGATTATGATTACCATTAACTATGATTACGCTTACAAACAAGATTGTGATAAAAATAACGATTTTCATTACGATCACAATAACTATTAAAAGCTAGTGGTTAAATGCATTTTATCGAAATTCTCCAGAAAGATCAATAAACCTGAGCAAAGTTCGTATTTACACCTGTTTAGCAAGCGGGGTACAGTTAAACCGGTATACGCTTAATCAATAGCAACTACTTTATCTCAACTGGTCCGAGAGCCATCAATCAATCTTCTCTTGGGAGCCGTGCGGTGAACTATCTTAACTCAATGAACTATCTTAACTTCATACTAACTCAGCCAAGTATGATTTTTTGTCTTAACTCTTAGCTCTTAACAATGTACATATTTTTGAAAATTTTGATCTTTGCGCCTCTCGATAAATATTTGAATCGATGGCTCTCGAAACACTTGAGATAAAGTAGCCAAGGACTATCGAAAATATATTTAAAACTTCAATAGCAATTACGTCCGCAAATGTGGTCATCTACTGAATCTTCACAAATATACATACATAGTTCAACGCTTATAAACATACATATGTAAACATATATACATATCTACTATTTATGTGCGTTATAATTAAATATAACAAAGTGAAATATGGTAAAGCTATGCAAAATCACAATTCAACCCCACAGCCAATAATTTTCCTCTACGACGCGTCATGCCTGCGCCCGCTTACAGGCATATACACATGTGTGGTTATGAGCTCTATATATTTATGTGTGTCCATTTATAAATATGTATGTATATGTATAAATTATATGATTAATGACAAGATAATTGAAATTAATTGTTGTCGAAAATTAGCATGAAAATCATAGTGACACATGCAGAAATTTGGATCTGCTCCTAAATCTCAAATGGCCAAGTAATAATTATAATTATTTGGCACGCAAAAGGCGATAAGATAAATTCAGTTTTGAGCGAATTTTTAAACCAACACTTAAAGCTTACAAAATCAACGCCAACATAAGAATATACATACTTATTTCCAAATTTCTCTTATAGGTGGAAGGCACTTTATCCGTGCAGCCACAAGCAAATCCCGTGAAAGGATTCGAAGAATATTTTCTGAATTTAACTGTGGAGAATAATCAACGAAATCCGTGGTTCGTAGGTGAGTACAGCACAGGATTTATGGGCAAAAATTATTTTAAACTCAGTGCTGCTTTCAGTTTTTCCAACAAAATGTTGTTCCTTATTATGGCAAAAGCAAATATTTGCCACATAATAAGAGAGAAAACTCATACAAAAATTTCCGTAATCAATTTGCCATTAGTGCTATAATTTATGTGCGTACCTACTCTGCTTGCGTTCACAGAATTCTGGGAAGACCACTTCCAGTGTCGCTATCCGGGTAGTTCTAGCACGCCATACAACAACTACAATCGCACATGCACAACCAACGAGCGCTTATCGAAGGACACCGACTTTGAGGATCAGTTGCAGTTTGTTAGCGACGCAGTAATGGCATTTGCATATGCGCTACGGTACGTTTAATAGCTTGGCAGCAAAAAAGCCAACACTCAACCGAATAACGAATAAACAAAATTTCATTTACCACTTTCTTCTTCCTTTCTTTTCTTGCAGCGATATGCATCGCGATTTGTGCGGAGGTCGACCTTCGCTTTGTGATGCCATGAAACCAACCAAAGGCGCTGATTTACTTAAATACTTGCGAAAAGTGCAATTTCAGGGTAAGTAGCAGGCCATACATAATTGCCGTTAACTAACTAAATCAGGTAGAATGGTTGAGTTATGACTACTACATAGAACTGAAAGTTGTGTAAAACAATTTTCAGCCACTTAAATAGTTATTCCCTCCATCGAAATATGTATGTATGTGTATATGTACCGGCACATACACATATGTACAGAAGGATTCTTCTATCCACACATATGCACTGAAATGCACGTACGCTACTAATAGCTCTGTGTTGGCTGGCAGCTGTTGTTGCCATTGTCCTGATTGTTGCGCGTTCAAGGCGACACAAACAGCTGCTGCTGCTGCTCCGCTGTTGCTGCTCCGCTATTGCTGATGCGCTGACATTATCATTGTCACATTGAAGCACTCAAGTGTAAAATTGGCTTTGTTGCCTCGCTCGTTGCTCAAATTCCCACAGCAAGCCAGCAGCTCAACTACTACGAGCAGCAATATGAGCGCAGCAGCCATAGCTGTTTTCATTCAATTGAAAATGAAACTCAATAAATTATTTTATAATGATAAGGACAAAGCGAGGGGGAGCGAAAGAGAAAGGTGGAGGGAGCGGTGGCAAACAAAAATGAAGAAACCGTTGTTCGTCCGTTTGGAAAGGGGCCAAATAACCGCTGAACCTCTGCAAGCACTCAGATAAAATTTATATATAAAAATTTATACGTATAAAGCGGTGAAGCTGAAGCTTAAATATAACACCAACAAAAATAAGTAAATGTGTAACGAAAGCCACAGCCGCGCATAAAGAATGCAAAGTGTTGTGCTACTGCTGTGTTTAGATATCGGTTGGCTTCCCCATTTTTACGCTTTTATCCTTTTAAGTAAATTTCTTGTTGCTTGCGGCTGTTGGCTTTCAGCTGATTGCCGATTGTGCATGGCGTGCTTGCTGATAAAGAAAATTGGCAGTGATGAAAATAAATAGACGCATTAAGTGTTGAAAAGTTGGTAAAGGGTTGCGGATTTCGCTCGTCAAAGGAAAGGCTAATAATCAAATGCGTAGTGGCGAATGAAAAATTGTCGTCAGAGCTTTTGACGATCCGCTGAGCCCTCTCGCGGTTCTTTTGGCAATATTTCAAAAATTTGCGCGTTTCATAACTTTTAAGCCGTAAAGTAGTGCAGGGTATTAGGAAGATACATGTGTACATTAGTGTGGTGCTTAAAACCAAATGAGCGATTTTTTCAGTTTCCCCCCTTCAATCGGTATTGCGGTCACACACAGATATCATATACAAATGTTGGTTCCGTTTGGAGTCGATTAAGGCGTGTCGCAATGGGGTCCAAGGCCAGATGCTCCCTGCAGACTAAAAAAATTAAAAATATATATTTTTTTTTTCATTTAATACCCAAAATCGATACTACTACAGTCGAAGATATCACATACAAAATTTGGTCCCGATTTGAGTCGATTAAGGCGTCTTCATAGGGTAATCTGAATTTTTACCCCTGTGCGACTCGCCTTAACCGTCTCCATACGAGACCAAAATGTATATGCGATATCTTCGACTTTAGTAGCATCGACGTAGAGGTTGAGGCTTAGGAAATCTGAAGTAAAAATTGGCTTCATACATTTAAGGGTCACCCTAGTGTGCATATTTATGTGTACAAAAACTGTATGTGAGTAATTGGCTTATGAAATATATTTAAAAGGATAAATTAGAAAATAAACAACAGATTATCCATGAAGAAATACATATGTTGAAATTTGAGTAGGAATTAAAGTGAAAAAATCGGACTACTGCCAGTGCTATAGAGAAATAATTTAATAATATAAAATACATATGTTAATCATAAAATAATTGTGTAATTGTTCACTAAATTTACGTTTGACTTGTCTTCTTTTTCTTAGGTCTTAGCGGTGATCACTTTCGCTTCGATGTGAATGGTGACGGCCCCGCTCGCTACAACATCATTCATTTCAAGCAGTCAGAGGCAGGTCTTTACCACTGGGTAAAAGTGGGTGAATACTACGAGGGCGAGTTGCGGTTGAATATGTCAGGTATGTGGTAATAAATACTGCAGTCAAGGTCGAGTGTCGAATCGACAGAAATCGCCTTAGAAGTATTTTTGTATTGTTACTTCCTCCCAAAACTCTTATGGCCTCATTCATAAAAATAAAATAGACTTAACGAGATTTATGAGATGAGATTTTCAAACAATATCTCGATTTATGAAGAATTCTTTATTTTTTTTATGAATGTGGGCGTTAGCTAATGTATTTTTGAAGATATTTGGAAAGTAGGTAAAATATGAGCTTTTTCATGGAAATTTTATTTATAATCTTACAACTCGAGTCTTTAAATAGAGCACTTTCTTCAAAGGTGTATTAATTCAATATTTGTCTAAAAAAATATTCAAATATGTATATGTATTTATCTTCCATTCTTGTAATTTGAAAATAGCTGCCTACTTTACAAATACTTTAAAAAGGGAGTATCAACTAATATTTTTAGATGCTGTGAGATGGAGTAACAAAACAAAAATTCTTTGAAGGTGTTGCGAAGTAAGCGGCTTATTTCCTAGTTGAAGTTATTTCTAAATCAAAGATTACTCAAACACTTTCGTTTGACACCCATTTTGTAATATTTAGCTTATCTTATCAATTTAACTGAGTTAAATTTTTGAAATAGGTGGCAACTCGCTTCAAAAATATTTTCGACAGTAAACTTTCTTAAAACCCTTTATTTTGATACCCATATAGTATTTAAATATTTCATTTATTTCATCGATTTGATTGAATGAAATTTTTCACGCTGTTGGCAACCCCAGTCAAAAATGTTTTCTGTAGTAAAATTTTCTCAGCTTCTTTATGATATAAATTAAATTTATGATATAAATTAAATTACATTAAAATTTTCAAACAGGTGGCAGCCTTTTTCATAAAACTGTTTTCGGCTGTAAGCCTTCCCCAACCTCTTTCTTTTGACAGCCCTATATCAATATTTGCTTCAGCTTATCAATTTACTTAAACTGAAATTTTCAAACAGGTCTCTCTAAACTCTCTAAATTTTTTCTTCTATTTTTTTTTTTTTGCTGGAAAAACATCGGTGAAAACTGCATTCGATTCCATGCATTCGTTTTTCAGTGATGTGCGTACAAACATAAAAATTTGCGTTTTGGGTTCTGTTGATCTAATAAAGTCCACCCATATTAATTATTCTTTAAAATCTGTAATACACAATCATCAGCCTATTTAAATTTTATTATGCATATGTACAGATGTTTATTTCTACTGTTCTCCTTTGAAAGGCTGATTAAAGGTCTGGCACAGTCCCGATGAACTTCGCTCATTTTGGTCGCCCATTTAGTTCTCTCAATGCGTTATTCTCGGGCTCGGGTCGATTGGATTGTTGGCTACTTCAAAGATTGTCCGCTGTCTCATTTCGTTGTTTCATCTTTCGGCCGAAATATACTTGGTACAGGCACTTGGGTTTTTGGTTCTCCTTCTGAAGTTGTCGACCTGCTTTTCTATCTATGCAGGGGCCACACTGGAACTGTCTCTGAAAAGAGTATATCTGCCAGGTTTCTGGTCGCAATGTCAGAGAGAAAAACTAAAAACGCAGGTTTACTATATTTGACTCCTAGTTTCACAAGTATAATCAGCATTTTTATTTTTTTTTTTTTTGTATAATTGACTGTCGTCCAGTGTAGTACTCTCATGGTGTACGGTAATTTTTGAATCGTAGGACTGCAACCCCAGGTATTGTGTTGTAGCACTGAAACTGATTATTTCCAGAAACGTCACTTTGCTGGCGAAACTAACCAGACAGCTTATTCAGATATAAGTTTCTTACGCCCAGCAGGGCTCTTCTTCTAGTTAATGCTATAATGACTGTTTGTTTGAGCTTTATTTTCAACCATAAACTGGCACGGTAGTCAAAAGCTTCTTTGTAGTATGTACAAATGTTTCCATCGAACTTACTGCTCACTTAGGTGAATATCTCATCCGAGTATCCTTGCTAGCGAAGGAGTTCATGCAATACTAATTTTTTCCATTTTGTGTATTGAAAAGAAAATAAAAATTTCATTTTGACAACAGCTTTTTATATCCTAAGTATGTATGTGTTGGTCTAACACGCGCCAGATGCTGAACAATAGCATTCTAATCAAAATTCATAGAAAATATCCTGTTTTTGTGCTAGTAGCAGAAATACGCATACATTTTTCAACCAAATATTCAAGAAGTACAAAACAAGAATTGCATTTACCCATGCATACAGTCCAGTTCCTTTTACTTTATAAAATTTATGTTTTACACATACATACATTCATAGCGTCTTCTGCTATGTATGTACAAATGTATGCACCTCATTGTCTCTTACTTGTCTCCATTCGTATTCTTGTACCACCAATTCACTTATCTGGTTTGTTAGCTTTCAGCAGCTTTCAATTTGTTTTATGCTCCTACATTTCAGCGTTTCAAGTGCTGTGTTATACGTTTGCGGATTACAACCTCGTACATGCACTTTTTTCTGCTCAGCACCGCATTGCATTTGTAAACTTATCTGATACACATGTATTCGCTTGCTGCTGCCGCTGCTGCAGATGCATCGCTGCATTCTTGTTTCATACACTTGATCACTTTTTCAGCACAACTGGCTACTAACTTTTTTATGATTTTCTATTTTTTTTCTCTCTCTCTTTTGCAGAAGTCCAATTTAAGCTGTTGCATCCAAAGCCACCTGAGTCCGTCTGCAGTTTGCCCTGCGAGCGTGGACAGGCCAAGAAGTATGTGGAGGGTGAGAGCTGCTGTTGGCATTGCTTCAATTGTTCCACCTATCAAGTAAGCTCAAGTAAATTTACAGTTGTCAGCTGACTAGCAGTGGTTGTGTCGTGTCATCAAAGTAAATGCACACACCTACGCACACATGCGCACACAAACGCAAAACACTTTGGAAACACATATACATACATACATACTTTGGGGCAGAAGCAACCTCAAACCCAAATTGGTCTGAGAGCGAGCTGGGTGGTGTGGTGGAAGCATTGAATTTTTTGCACATAAATTGAAAAGATTTGTAGAGTAATTGATTTGCTTGTTTTATAACAGAAACGCTTTTACTTAAACGCGCACTTGTATGCGCGGTATTTGATTGTGTACGCTGCGCGTGTTTGTGTGAGCCAACTGCGTCTCGAAAATTGGATTTTGATTTAGAAATTATGTTGCAGCAAATTGGATTCAATTCACTCATTGAACTTAGATGAAATAAAAGGAATTCCTATCCAATGTTCAATCTTCCATTCGCAATTTGCTGCCAATGAGCGAATTTGTTGGCTAAAAGAAATGAAATGCAGCGCAGGGCGAGAATGCAATCGCATGCATAATTTCTAGTTACAGATGCGATGCCAAGAAATTACTTTTATTGAAAATTTTTATTGGCGAAGGTTAAGAGGATATAAGTTTTCAGCTTTTATTTATTGGATTAATAAAACCTAAGCTTTTATAAGGTGCTAAGTTCGAGAATATTGTTGGTTACTGTAGGGTATATTTCGGAATGTAAACATAAACCGGCCTTACGCAAAGCTAAATGAAGTTTAATATATGTACACATGTAATCTTCATAAAAAATCATTATATGGGACATTCCATAACAAAACGGACGGGGGTTCACACTTCATGTGTTTGATTTGTTTCAAATTTTTTTTCGGGTTGAGCTTGATTAACACATTTTTAAAAACTTTACAGCACAAAAACAAAACCAAATCGATTTAATAACTTCCCAAATATCTCGAAAACGGGGCGAGGAAAAAATTTCATAAATTATACACCTGCACACATCAAAACTCCCCAGCCAGCAGAGAAACGTACTTTTTGCCGAAAGTGCAGTTTTCGTACATTTTTCGTTTTCGGAAATGTTCAGAAAACGATTTTCATATTTGTTAAATTTTCGTATCCGAAAAATATCATCACCTTATTTTAAAACAATAATTTTAAAATATTTGTTCAAACTGAGCATTTGAAAACATGTATACATATTCGCCAGTAGCTGAGTGTGCAGAGAAGTGTGCTACTATTTGTTAGCTTTCAGGAGGTCCCAGGTTCGAATTGCGTCAGAAGCAACACATTAAAAATAGTTATTCACATTGAAATAATTGCTGAATCTTAAATTTGTTTTTTGTTTGGTTTCCTGTAACTATGAAAAAGATTCTGTGAAGTTCATAATGAAATCGTTTTCAACGAAAAATGTTATCAGACAAATTTCAGGAAAACAGCCGAAAGTGCATCTGTTTTACAACCATTTTCGATAGTTTTCTGCACATACGTTTCGAATGAACACTTTAGTGGGGGAATTCATCTGAAAAACGTCCGAAAACGGAATCCGAAAACGGATGAAACATCAAAAAAATTTATGAATTTGTAATGTACTCATTTTAGTCAACTCTAATTATTTTAGAGGGCACCCCATAATACAATATTTAAATATTGCGCAGTACTCAGAGCTACCATTGTGATTTATTTCAATTTTTTTTTTGAGATGGCATATTTTCTAAAAGTAATTTTTTTATCGAAAAATTTGTTTGTGAAAAAATTTTCAAGAAAATATTTTTTTAATATTTCTTCTTTATTTAACCATTTTTTAATGCTAAAAATTGTTGATTGATCCGCCCATTGCATTTTTCAGGGATTTGGTGTTTTTGGCGGACCTATAAATTATAGATATAATGAAAAAATTGTTAAATAAACAATTGGTATTATTATTGGAAATATTAATACATATATCCAAATATTTTTTTGGTTCAAAATAAAAAAAATTGGTGTAAAAAAAATCCTGGTGGGTGAGCGCTAAAATTTCGGACTTTTCTTTTTTGCATGCATTTTTGGATAGCCCTAATGTACATACATGTATAAATTCGTCGCTAATTCAACGCCAGTTTAACTTGAGTACCGGAAATTTAAACATTTTAGCAAAAGAAATATTATTTTTACGCTATTGAACCACTCGACGTAAATCAATCAAATACATTTTGGTTAAATAAGATAAATATTTTGCTCTGCTCTACTGCCACGAAACGCTATAAATTCGCGACACAAGAAATCCATTGTACAGCTGCACACTTGTCTTGTTCTACATATATGTATACATCCATACTAATTCTACGTTCTACTAACCACTTAAGCAGCTCTATTCATTACACATCCGTGCTTTCACTCTTGTTCTTCTATTTTTTGTTTTTGTGTTTTTTTTCCTCGCAAAGATACGCCATCCCCTCGATGAGACTCAGTGCCTGACTTGCCAGCTGGGCACTCTGCCCGATGCCACCAAACAATTCTGCCAGACAATACCGGAAGTATACTTGCGGCACGAATCCGCCTGGGCGATTGGTGCAATGGCATTCAGTGCCACTGGTATTTTAGTGACGCTTTTTGTTGTCGGTGTTTTTGTGCGGTAAGTTTGCCATAAAATCAATGAATTGGGTGATTCACATGGTGGTAATATCGTAAATCCTCTAAAGGTTAAAAACATTTTTTAGTGATTCATAGTAGCTACAAGACAAGTTTAAACGTTTTAAAATTAATGAATTTATGACCATATGACAATATGGCGACCGCTGCACAGTGGTTTAAATTTGGCATTTTGTGTTCCTAATTCACTTGATCCTTCATTTTTCACTCAATGAGATTATTATTTATTAAATGAAGGCTAACCGGTTGAGCCCGATTTTTGAATTTTGGTTTGTTTATATTAAATTTTTTATTTCAAAGTGCGGAACAAGTTGCAATTTTCAAGAAAATCGATTCTCCTGAAAACAATTGTACGGTTCCCCCTAAACAAAAAAATTTTCGCAAGAAAAATTTTTAATGTTATAAAAAATAATTTCACCAAAATTAATAAATAAAATTGAGTTTCTGGAAAAGTTTTAGGTATGCAGATCATTAAATTTTAGTATAATAAAGTGCAATTTGCAAGTGGCAACGAGTTCGCGTTGATTTTTAATAATTTTTTTTTTCGGTAATATTTCGAGCGCATCTGCATGCTAAATGGGAAATAAAAGCGTTTGTTATATTATTCAAAATCAACGCGAACTCTAAGCCACTTGCAACTTGCACTTTATTATTCTAAAATTTAATGATCTATAAAGCTGAATACCCAAAATTTTTATAGAAACCAAAAAAATATATTAATTTTGTTGAAAATTTTTTTATAACATTTCAAAGTTCTTCTCCCGTTTTGAGAGAACCCTAAAATTGTTTTAAACTAGTTTATATTATGTATGCAATAGTTATTAGCTGGAACAGAAGAATTGATTTTCTACAAAATTGCTACTTTTTCGGCACTTTGCACTAAAAAATTTAATACAAACAAAAATTCAAAAATCGGGCTCAACTGGTCTCCTGAAAATTTTGTTAGCTTTTATTTAAAAAAAAAAATATATACATACATATATCAAATTGAGTGAAAAATGAAGGCTCCAGTGAATTGTGAACACAAAATGCCAATTTTGAACAACTGTGCGTCGCTGTGGTATTCTGGTTAGAAGTGCATACTACCATTGAATTAACATCAAAAAGAAAACAAAGAAAGAAGGGTGAGGATCGCCAATCTATTGTCAATATGACGATATGGATGTTATGACACCTTGGGAATCACCCAAATATGTTTCGTTCTTTGTATGTGCGAATACTTTCGTATATGTATGTATATGTATGCATTATCCGACCCTTAGCTTGATTTAACTTTTCGTGTCGAATGTCAGCGATTGATTGCTTTTGCTGTTGTTTTTATTTATTTATTTATTTGTTTGAACGAAGTCAACGAAAGCTTCTTTGTTTATTTTTTATTTCACTTTTCTTTTAACTATTTGTTTAATGTANCTGCCGAGATAGGTCGATCTTCCACTCAGCAGTCGATATGTACCTACATACATATCTACATATTTTACAAGACTCGAAAATTTTTGTTACCTTGTCATTGTCCTCTGTTTAGCATTTTTACGTAGAAGGCACTGAGAAAGCAACACTTTTCGGTAGAAAAGAAAACGTCATTAATTTAGCCACTTAATTTTTCGACTGTTGCGCTGCACATTTGGCAGCAAATAGAAATGAATGATCTAGACTTGTATTGAGTTGACTTTCTTAAAAAAAAAAATAAAAATAAAAAGAGATTAAAAAAATTTGCTACAAAAGCAGTAAGAATCTATGTATATATAGCTTTGAATGGCGCTGTAGTGCCACGCGCTACACTGTTTGCTGAAGTTGAAGATAAAAATAAAAAAATAAAAATATTTTAAAATGGAATTGTGAAAATTGAATGCACTTCTGAACGATTTTTTTTTCTATTTGTGTGCATTTATATTTTTCGTGTATTTCGATTTTCCATTGAATTTTCAACATTGTATAAATTCTCGTTATCGCATTTATGCCTCGTTAACCGCATTATTTCTTTCATTCTTCTTTGATAGCCACAATGATACGCCTATCGTACGCGCCTCTGGTCGAGAGCTTAGCTACATTTTACTCGCTGGTATATTGATGTGCTATGCCGTTACATTCGCTTTGGTACTAAAGCCCACGAATATAGTTTGTGCAATACAGCGGTAAGTTTTTTATGAAGAGTATATTTAGAACTATTTATTTGCCGTATGTTGCGCTATATTTAACTAAATATTTACATGTTCAATGACAGGATAAACCAATCAACTCATTCTTTCAGTTGACTTAGTACACGAAATACATTCTTTAATTGTTTAGAAATTTTAGCAGATATCTTTCCTGACTACCGAGTTATAGACAGTGCTACCGTGTGTGGGCTGTTCCTACCTACCTACTTGCGCCCATAGCCTTTATTAGGCTTCACACATATGTTGACTGACAAATATCCTTGTAAGGCTTCGTCAATCTGCCTCATGTAATAGATGGCTAAGCCTCATTTTCTCGTCACGAAAGTTCGTATAAAATTAATGTATATGAATCTTCCGCTTCAGTGACGTGTGCTATATTTTTGTAGGAGATTTTGTGAGTTTTTTTTAGTGGCAAATGGGTGTTACATATGAAGGAAATACTCTCACAATAGAGAGCTGTTTTGGAACTAAGGGTCTTCTGTTAATTGAAAATATTTGCCAACTCGTCCCGAAAAAATGCTGGGAATCTCGTGTTAGTGATGATGACAAATTACTCTCTTAAAATATCTTTCCACAACCAGATGGAGCCCTAAAACCGACTAATAAAAATAGGTTTTGCTTGATAAAAAAAAAATCTAAAAATTCAACAGTAATATTTAGTGACTTAAAACTTGTGCTACAAATTTGCATACTCGAAAAACTTCCGAAAATTCAAAATAAAAAGGTTGAAATTTTGAGGAAAATTTTTTGAAGTTTGATTCATTTTTGTGAACTTTGTGCAATTTTTGTAATTTTTATTTCTATGACTTCTGCTATAGATCGAACTATATTTTAAATGAAAATTATTAAAAATAAATTTTTAAACAGGAGTTGCAAACAATATCATTTTTAATTTTACTACTATTATTTTAATCACTGCTGTATTTCCGCAGTTGCGTCCTAAACCGCTAGTCCGATTATAACCAAATTTAGCGCACCTATTGCAGGCATTCCAAGGATAGTTGTAGGCTAAAAATATTTTCAAAATACGCCCGGGGTGTGTTTCGAACACTCTATGCGAATAAATCGTTGCGATATAAGCAACATTTTGATATACAACAAAATGGGTTTGAAAACTAATGTAATACCCTTATACGTAAAAATATTGCTATTGTGTCACAACTACTCCTTGATCTTAAAAAGAATGCAAAAAAAATTTTCTTCGAAAAAAAAAGATGACAAACCCTGGATTTCTTCAAAAAATATTTGTATGTTTTAGTATACTAATGTTATAGTTTTTGAAATGAGCAAAACGATTCCACTGTTGAAAAATGCAAAAAAAAATTTGTTCTGAAATTGCAAACAAAATTTTTAAAAATTTCGAATTAAATTTCAAACTCCAGAATCGTTTTAATTTGGCTCAAGAATTGAAATTTCAAAGAACTGAATTTTTTCCGCCCCAAACCCCGCTTTGTGTCGTATCGAAATACGTATGCCCAGTATGACATATTTATGTGCATATGTAAATATCTAGTTTTTGAATTTTTTTAATACATATATGTTTTTCCTTCTGTTTCTTCTCCTTTTGTTTCTACCACAGCTTCAGCGTCGGCTTCTGCTTCACCGTTGTCTATGCGGCGCTGCTCACCAAAACCAATCGGATTGCGCGTATCTTCAAAGCCGGCAAGCAATCAGCGAAGCGGCCATCTTTTATTAGTCCGAAATCACAATTGGTCATTTGCTCGTTTCTAATATTCATACAAGTAAGTTGAGTAAGGGTAATAATAAGAAAAAAACAACAACAAAAAAAGAATTATAAAAAAACTTAGCAAGCACATAAAAAGCATCTATTGAGAAGAAAAACCTGAAACCAGAACGTTGAAACGAAGCAAGTGCAATGTATAATGTGGCAAATGCTTTTGAAATGCTGCTCTTTTGTGCTGACATGCCACGATATATTGCATGCAACTATGCTGGGCCATACAATAAAATTTTTCTTACAGTAACCCTTACCCACCTTACTCATTATCCACTTTTAAGTGCGCCACTAATACACAATGTCTATACATATACAAACATATTAGCACAGTGCACTCTATGCCATTAAAAAATAATTTATATTTATTCGTATGTAGTTTGCATTTTTCTTTTCATTTTTCTTGTATCCCTAACTTCATTGCAGATTCTCATTAATGGCGTTTGGATGGTGATTTCACCGTCGCACGCCATGTACCACCATCCGACACGCGAGGATAATTTGCTCGTCTGTGATTCTTACATCGATGCTTCCTACATGATTGCATTCTTCTATCCCATCGTTCTGATTGTAATTTGCACGGTTTATGCGGTGCTCACACGGAAAATACCCGAAGCATTTAACGAGTCCAAACATATTGGTGAGTGCTTGATTGTAAGGAAAAAACTTAAATGCAGTATAATAGAGCCATTTTTTTCTTATTAAATGTAAAATTACGTAAAATAAATTTGAGATTCTTCGAAGAGCTGCATTACTGAGAAGCTGTGTAGATAGCAAATGCTCGATACAAGCCAATAATTATTTCTATTTCTGCACTAATTGGTCAATATTTATTTGTCATAACTTTCAAATCAAATTACCACCACATTTTCAACTAATTGTCAATTGCAATATTCTACCATTTTCATTTCATTCTATTCCCACCTGCAATTGCTCTCTGGAATGCTGCTGCTGCTGTTGATGTTGCTGTCAAAACCATCAATGTTCGCTCGATTGCGAAATTGCCTCGATGCTATCGGCGCGCGCGTGTGTGTGGAATTTCGAAATCAAAAATTATTTCTGAAATTGTCTGGTTTACTTTCTACCGCTTCTCAATTCCCCTATTATTTAAAACCCCTTCCTTGTATTGATTTTTCCACCGTTTCGCTTTATTTTAACTCTGTTTCCTTACCCATCGCATAGGATTCACTATGTATACCACTTGTGTCATTTGGCTGGCCTTTGTGCCACTTTATTTCGGCACAGGCAATCATGTGCCGCTGAGATTAACTTCAATGTCAGTGACAATTAGTTTGTCGGCGAGTGTCACCGTGGCGTGTTTGTTCTCACCGAAGGTAAGTGTGTGAAATTGCTACATGTGCGTGTGTGTATGTACATATATGAGGGTGGTCCAAAAACGCATGTGGAAAAAGCAAAGTCGGAAATTTTATGCAATCACCACCTAGGATGGTTCTATATCTAAAAAATATACTCCTTTTTTTTAAGTTTTCTATGTATTTTAAATATATACGAAACAAGTAAGAAAGTCTAAGTTCGGGCGGAGCCGAACATTAAATACCCGGCGCAAGTATTAAATATATGTTTTTTCACCTTTCCGAAAGCTACCGCTAGATGCTAAGCCGGGGTGTATCAATTTTGAGTAAATTNTCAATTTTGAGTGAATAATCTTCAGTAGTTACTAAAATATCGCAGTTTTCGTATTTGTGGAAATTACCGTTATATGGGAAGTGGGCGTGGTTACTGTCCGATTTCGCCCATTTTCAATACCAACCTACCTTGGATTAACAGAAACCTACATACCAAATTTCGTTGAGATATCTCAATTTTTACTCGAGTTATCGTGTACACGGACGGACGGACAGACGGACAGACGGACGGACAGACAGATATGGCTTAATCGATTTCTCTTTTCATTCTGATCATTTATGTATACATTTGTCTGTATCTATCTCGATTCGTTTTGGCTGTTACAAACAACCGTTATGTGAACAAAATTAATATACCCTTGTGCACAAGTGCGCTCGGGTATAAAAACAATTTTCGTAGAAATGGTATAGGAATATTGAAAATCAATATTTTACGATCGGAAAACTCTGTCTCTTCAGCAGGTTCCCAATAATAATGTGTAATTATTTATTTAACAATTTTTTCATAGCAATTATATTTTATAGGCCCCCAAAACCCTCAGAAAATGCAAAGGGGGCTTGAATAAAAAATGTTTAGTGTTAAAGAATTCGATATTGTTATTGGAAGTCTCCCGATAAGGGCCAGAGTTTTCTAATCGACAAATATTGATTTTCAAGACCATTGCTACGAAATGTTGTTTTTCCCCCTTATAAAATATATGTTTAGTTAATGTATGTACAAAACACTTCTAGAGTACAATATAAAAATTTCATAAGCACCCGCTAAATTTATACTTTGAAACGTAAAGTTTGGTGCCAGCACCTCTTTTGGCAAGAGAAAAAATTGTGGAAGGTGCCTCAAACCCTATCTCGGAAAACTTGTTTAGACCACTCTAATGCACTTAGTACATATATTAAACAATGAAACACAAACGCGAAACCAACAATACAATTTTTTAAATGTAATTTCAATACTATTTTAGTGCCATAGATTTTTTTTGTATTTATACTTGGTCTTTCGCTTTTACAAGCTCAATTTATTTCATAGCAGCTATGAGTAATTAAAAGATTTAAATGAACAATGAGGAATTGCATTTAAAAAAAAATCTTCAAATATTAGATTTTTTTTTTTTTGGCAATCCATTAGCCGACCTCACTAAACGATAGCTTCTATCTTGATGAGCTGCTAAATTTACCGTACTCGTAATTTATGCAAATCAAATTCATAATTTTTCCCTTTTTGAGTGTGGGAAAATACGTAAAATCGTTTTTATTACATATTCCAGCAAATGTGTTATTTACAGTAAATAAATTTTAAGCGATATTGGTTTTGTGAGCTTGACTTCACATGCTTACATGCGCCATTGACTTCAGTTCAGGCAATTCATAAAAACAATTTAAATTTATATGCATACATACGTAGTATGTATGTATGGATGTGCATAGATATGTATATACATATGTAGATAAAAATAAAAATAATAAAGATAGATATTTCCACAGAAACGGTTTGAAAATGTATTCATGATTTTTTTTTTTTTTATTATTCTTAAATTTAAAAAATGTTATTTTTAAATCTTCTTCTTCTTGAGGATAATCCTCTTTTTCTTTTTAGACTAGGTCGTGTAAATAAATTTGCAATTATTTCCAAGGTCAACAAAATGTTCGTTCTTGGCGACATCTAAAAACAGCCAAAATCGGGTTTTTTCGTCACTCCATTATTTAAGTATTACTCGACTTCAAAGGGGGGTGCATTAGGCCGGGTCGATTTGTGGGGAGGCAAAAAAATCGCTCATTGCTCTGTGAAAATCATGTTCTAGGGATCAAAATAAGAAACTTTGTCGAAGGAACCATACCTCTAAAACGAATTCTGATGTCCCCCAATTTGGGTCGAACTTTTGGGTAGGGGCAAATTTTGAAAAATCCCACTTTGACCCATTTAGAGTGCTCCAATCGAGTCCAAATGTATGACCGACCCCCACTAACTTTGGAGGCCCGACCCACCGACGCCAGTGGCACACCCCCTGGAACCCCCCTGGGGGTTCACCATACAAACATTTCAAAAAATCGCCGGTTTTGCACTTTACATGAAAAAATCAGCGAAATGCCTATGTTTTTTCTTTTTGGAGTTTATTTTTCTCTTTAGAAATTTATTTAGTCAGAACATATGTAAATGAAAAAATGAATTTAACTTAGTAATAGAAAAGAAATTTAAAAAAATTATTAGAAATTAGCGTTTTTACAACCCTTTTAAAACCAAGGCATCACTGTGATGCATTTGCATGTCGTAAACATAGTTGTGTGGGTTTTTTATTCAACCGTTTTAAAAAATGAAGGTATCACTGTGACACAATTGCAAATCGGAAAATTGCTTGTGTGCGTTTTTTAAGACACAGCTGCATGTCGTAAACTTACTTGTGTAGTTTTTTTATAGCACCTACTTAAGAAATGAAGGTTGTTTTTACAACCCTTTTTGTGGGTATTTTAAGGCACCTTCTTAAGAAATGCGCGTTTTTTGCAACCATTTTAACAATTAAGGTATCACTGGAATGCACCGCAACCCTTTTAAACAATGAAGGTATCACTGTGACACAATTGCAGATCGTAAAATTGCTTGTGTTGTTTTTTTAAGCCACCACAAGACACAGCAGGTAGAATTGAAATTACCATTTCATTCTTATTACCTCGTCTCGTAGACCATATATAACGCAACAGTTTTTGTGAATGCATTAAGTCGTTGTGAAGAACTCAAAGTGTGAAGTGCTAATTTCAGATAAAAAAAATTTTCAAAAAAAATAATAAGTGAAGTGACCATTCCAAATCAAAAAGTTTACAATGAATCCACCATCCTCTACACCGCAAGATGAAGCAACTACATCAACAACTATCGAAAACCCAATGAGTCATATACCCAAGCATGATGTTACTGTTTTTGGTGTGTCTACTGATTTAACTGATCTTAATTTACCAACCCATCTGGATATCTTGAGATATTATTTTTACTTAAGCGAACGTGCTAAAACAGAACAAAAAAAGTTTTCCCATAAATCATTCACTATTCAAGTACAAGATAAGTTGATTGGAATTTGGGAAAAACTTGGTATGGAAATAATGCTGAAAAAAGGTGTATTTAATAAATTGAATAAATTGCTTGACAAGTATCAAGAGCAAATCAAGAGAAGAAACAACACCCAACAATTTACAGAGTATGTAAAATCTCTGGAAACAATTTTTTACATTGGAACATGTAAATGCGATTTGAAGGCAGCTCCATGTGCATGCGGCTGGGTTCCCGAACGCCTCAAAGAGTTCATGCACGATCAACATAATCAGAGAAGACTAACAATGGATGCATTTGTGATGGAAACTGAAGAGCAAGGAGCAACGTCTATGTCATCAATGCCAACATACCAAGATCCCGATGATTCAACATACGCACCGCCACCGGTTCAAGAAGATATGGATAGAAGCACAAGTTCACAATACACAGAGAGATACGATTGTTTTAACTTTGCCTTGGTATGCGACAGATTTGGTGTGCCTGACAGAGTAGCATCAGCATTGGGAACCGCTCTTTTGCAAGATTTTAAAATTAAAGATAAGCATGGGAAACCTCTCATCATGGATAAATCGAAAGTTCGCAGAGAAAAAGAGAAATGCAGACAAGAAGTGCTTCGCAAACGGTTAGATGATACCAATTTGTTAGCGTTTTCATTCGATGGCAGAAAAGATGATACTTTAACGATAGATAAAATTGATGAGAAGTATCATACTAGGATGGTAAAAGAACCTCATCTTGTTATTTTGAGAGAACCCAATTCTGAATTAATTGGTTACGTAAGACTGGAACATGAAACCGCTGAATACAAAACAACCAAATTAAATGGTTTTTTCAACGATAAAAATATATCACTGGATGCATTAATTGGAATATGCACTGACGGTGAGCCAACAAACACTGGCCCACACGGTGGAATTATACGACGATTCGAATTGCTGTTAAAAAGACCATTGCATTGGTTCGTTTGCCTTCTACACTTCAACGAACTTCCGTTTCGGCATTTGTTTGAAGCTTTGGATAAATCAACCAGCACTGGACCAAGATCGGCAACCGGAAAACTGAGCCGTCAAATCGAAACTTGTGAAACTCTTCCGGTAAGTTATTGCTATCACTCATTTATTATAATTGTCAACCATTTTTAATTATTTTATTATTATATATTTTCAGGTGGTGGACGGCTTCCAGAAAATTGAGTTGCAAAATATGCCCCCTGCTCCAGAAAAAATTGAATTTTCCACCGATTCGAAGTACTTATACGACATGGCCCATGCAATTTCTAGCGGCGTGGTTCCGGTGGATCTGGCTAACATCAAACCAGGGAAAATTGTACATTCTCGGTGGCTCACCAAGGCCGCTAGATTATTGCGATTATATGTGACAACGGAAAATCCAGATGCAAATTTAAGAATTCTGGTTGAATTTATAATTAAATGTTATGTGCCAATGTACTTCAATATCAAGTATTACAGCTCTGTCGTGTACGGCAGTGCATTATTTTTCAAGTTCATTGGTTGGTCACGATTTCTAGAACCTCGTTTACGCAAAATTGTCAATCAAGTAATTAAAGATAATTCATATTATGCGCATTCGGAAAATATCTTGTTATCAATGTTGTTTGATGATAGCAAAGAAAAGCGCGACTGTGCCATCAAGAAAATTCTACGCTATCGAACCGATGTTGACGAGCCAATGGAACTTAGAGTTTATAAAAAACCAGATATAAACTTTAATTGCACAAGTTATACGGAAATGATCAATTTGAATGATATAAATATCGTATTTGAACCACCATTCACGCGAAGCATTCCGTACGATACATTGAAAGAATATTTAAATCAAGATGATCCACCGTTTAATGATCCAAAAATTCCATCACACATACAAGGAACGGAACGACATGTTCAATTGCTAGCTAGCGTTTCCAAACGGGTTATACCGGAAAATGTAGAGGCTGTTATGGCGACGACATTAGAGAGCCGTGCGAAATTGCCCAGACTTGAAAGTAAAAAAGACTTCAAACAATAATTTTTTTTAGTTTCTTTTCTATAACTCACTTAAATTAATTTTTTCATTTACATATGTTCTGACTAAATAAATTTCTTAAGAGAAAAAATAGATATTATTATAAATAAATAATAAATATTATTATAAATAAATAAATAAAAATAAAGAAAAAACATAGCCATTTAGCTGATTTTTTCATGTAAAGGCCAAAAATGGTGATTTTTTGAAATGATTGTATGGGGAACCCCCCAGGGGAGTTCCAGGGGGTGTGCCACTGGCATGGGTGGATCGGCCGTCCAAAGTTAGTGGGGGTCGGTCATACATTTGGACTCGATTGGAGCACTCTAAATGGGTCAAAGTGGGATTTTTCAAAATTTGCCCCTACCCAAAAGTTCGACCCAAATTGGGGGACATCAGAATTCGTTTTAGAGGTATGGTTCCTTCGGCAAAGTTTCTTATTTTGATCCCTAGAATACGATTTTCACAGAGCAATGAGCGATTTTTAAATCGACCCGCCCTATGGTGCATGGTTCAAAAGATGATTTTGAGTAATTTATATTTTTTTCAGATTTTTACCCTAGAATGCCCCTTTAACCTACACAGTGCAAATAAAATAAAACATAACATAACGTTAACTTAACGTTTCATGTACTTTACTGAAATAAATATCAACGACATTGAACATTTGAGTTCACTCGCTAACAGTTCAAGCAGATAAAATATTTTATTGGACAGCTTTAACTAAAATACGGACAAAAAAATAAAAAAAAATTTACAATAATTGAATATAAAAATATGTTATCGAACACCTCTCAATAAAGCTCAATTCATTCGGATTTTTCAAATAAGCGAATTTCTATTAAACGGCCTTATTTATTTCAATTGGTTGTACATTTTAAAATCGTTAACCGATAGCGATTTGGCAATAAGTTTATAACATTGAAAAAAATAATATACATACATATGTAACTACATACATACACTGTCAGAAAAAAAGTATTGGCAAGCGAATTTTGCTCAATATGTACACCAATTTCTATTCTGTTATTTTTCCGCTAATTTTTTATAAAAATAAGGTTCATTCTACAAAACAAACAAAATAAAAATAAAATTTCTAAACTTTGTGCAAACATCGCAAAAATTCACCAAATTTTCATGAAAATTTTATACTTTTTTATCAGATTTTTAGAGTTTGTAAGTTTGTAGCCTAATCAATTTTATTGTAAAGGCGTAGAAGTTCTAAGTAGCTAAGAATTACCGTCGAATTTTGGGATTTTTTTTTCACACGTCTCTTCCATATGAAAAAAAAAATAAATCGAAAATACTTCATACGGAAAAATGCCAAACACCTTTAACAAAAAAAAAATTATTAAAAATCTATGCGAATCCGAACATGCATTTTTATACTAGAAACTGCATACTCAAGCAAATTCTAAAAAATCTAATTAAAAAGTTTAAAATTTGCATGAAAATTTGCTGAATTTTTGCAAGCTTTGCACGAAGTCTAAACATTATATTTTTATATTTTTTGTTGTTTTTTTTTGTAGAATGAACCATATTTTTATAAAAAATTGTTGGAAAAATATTTGAATAAAAATTGTTGCATATATTGTAAAAAAGCAGCAGTGCCAATACTTCTTGCCGGCAGTGTATGTATATCGCTTACTTAGAGTGAAAAGTTGCTGGCCCAATTTTTGTGAAAACTTGTATTTTGACAGAGGAAGCAAGAGAAAGTCCAAAAGCACTAAGGTTCTTGTTTTATTTCTTCCCGCCTATGTATATTCACTGAAAAGCAAATTCTCAAAGACCAAAAAAAAAGGAATCCTTTCATTCGTACGGAGTTTTTTTTAGCTTTAAAAACGAAAATTCTAGGTTTTGCAAAAATAATTGATTTGTAAAAATGGACTTAGCAACTATTTTCTCTGATATGTATATTTATTTTTGCATTTACACATGAAAGACTTGAAAAAGACACAGATAAGTGAATAAAGGCTAAAATCTGTATTCGATTCCAATTGACTAGGAGCATATTGTACATATGTACATAAATATGTACATATGTAAGTATATATGTACATATTTAATCTATGATGGCACTACATGCCTACATGTGTTCATAGTGAAGCTGCAAAGGTCAAATTTAAATTTTGGCTTAAATTTGTTATAAAATGACAGATATTTTATGCCCCAATGGATTACTGAAAAATGTGTGAAAGCAAAGAAAATAATCAAACAAAAATGTGATAAAAAAAACAAATTCATTTTATCAAAATGCTTTAGAAATATATACGAGTATTATCATAGAATAATGAATATAGGAAAAAATTGCCGAATGAATATATACACATCGTCACCTGAAATGCAAAAAGACGTAACAACATCGTAACTGATATGTAGAAAGTCGTGACTAATAATTTTATAATTTTTTTCATAAAATGTTGTGGGATATGTAATTCGATTAAATATGATGGACATATCAATCAAAAAGTGAATTTTGAATTTTTTATTCGTTACAACTTTTTGAATTTCAGCGACGATGCTTCTTACGTCTTTTTGAATTTTAGTTGGCGATATGTACTTTGCGGGAGTATATTTTGGAAAATTTTTATGATTTTTATTTATTTCTTCATTCACTTGAAAAATTTAATTTCAGAAAGTATGAACATTATTTCTGCGGGTTTTTTAGATGGTTTACCCACATTTAATTACATTTAATTATATATCGAAACTACCAAAAATTAAGCAGCTGTCACCACCTACTTTTTTCACCTTTTTTAACTGACTTTTTTTGAAGTCGGACGAGGAAGTTATTTATTTGTCGAGTTTTTTTCTTTTTTATTTGGTTTCACATAACTACATATTCTACTTTTAACATCTTTGCTGTTATTTGGAAATCTTTTAGACTTTGAATTCGCATGCCAGATTTATATCAACAGTATTTTCTCTTTTGTCTTTTACCCACATTCCACTTTCAGCTCTACATAATACTCATACGACCCGAACGTAACGTACGACAAAGCATGATGCCACCACGCTACGGCAACATGCATCGCACTGCCGGCACCGGTCCGTCTTCCATGATGGCTGCAGCTGTGGTGACAGCAGCCACTTGTGCGCAAGAGGAGAAGATACAAAAGCATATCACACCAACGAATACAGGTGAGAGGTTTAAGTGAATGAAAAGATAAAAAATGGCAGAGATAAAGATAGAGATAAAGGTAGAGACAAAAAAAGATAAAAAGAAAAGGATAAAATTGAAGAATAACATGTTATGTTCTGTTGTGTTGTATTGTATTTTGTTGTTTTGTGTTGTGCTGTGTGGTGTTGTGTTTTATTGTTTTGTGTAGTGTTATGTTATGTTATGTTATCTTATGCTGTGATATGTTATGAATTATGTTATGTTATGTTATGATGTTATTTTATGTTACGTTATTGTTATGATGTTATGTTATGATGTTATGTTATGATGTTATGTTATGTTATGTCATGTTATATCATGTTATGTTACGCTATATTATGTTACTGTTAGAAAAGATACGGCAACACCCTAGTGAATCGAAAGGAATTTATGGGGGACGTTTCTGCGATTGTTTTGACATTCTGCCTTTTTGATCTCTTTTTTGCACGTGTGCACACATAAATTGAAAATTTAAATCAGGATTGATCCCTTTTTGTACTAAAGTAAGTGCTATATAAAATAAATGTAATAATCATTTATTGAACCATTAAAATAAATTCACAGATATTTCAAACGACAGTCAAATAAAAGCGTTTTGAGAATTTGGGCGTGGGATCCATCACTGAATCCGTAACAATTTTGAAATATTTTAACGTGCTTGCATTAATTCGCAAAATGCTAAAGGCTAAGACTACCAAAGGTTATAGCTGTAAGATCTGCAGCAAAGCTGATGATTCACAGATGGTTTGCTGTGACGAGTGCGAAACATGGTACCATTTTCGGTGCGTTGGCGTTACAGCTTCGATCGAAAATGTGGACTGGCGCTGTGCGGAGTGCTGCACTCCGTCGCGCAACACTATGGCAGGGCAGGAGAAAGGCCAAGAGGGCACATGCGACGGACTTGCTAAGAATCCAAATGCACAAGGTAATGGTGGGGCACATGCCCAAAACGTCGTAGACGCCGAAGTCGACGTACGCGGTGCCCCACGCAGTAGTGCCAGCGGTAAGTCAGCAAAGATGCGGCGACAACGTGCCGAAGCCGCACTTCTTGAAGAAGAGCTACAAATTCTTCGTAAAAGAGAAGCGTTAATTGAAAGGCGCCGAAAACTTCTACAAAACCTCGAAACAGAAGACGAATGTTCCGATCTGGACGAAGGGTTGGACTCAACCGCGGTGGAAAAGTGGCTTAATGCAACTGTGCCTACCTTGCCCAACTCTGCGCCACCGAAAACACCGCACCAAGGTCACAAGACTCCAGCCGCGCAACCAGCCGGTCCCTCGGTTTCTCTCAGTCAGCCAAAAGAAGCACCCGACGACAGGAATTTCCAGCACCAGATCCAGTCCCTGCTGGAAAAGGTTTCTATACTGGAGCAAAGCGTACACAACACGGCCGTTCCTGCAACCGGCGCAACATGGATACCTAAATTGGTACCCAAATGCTCGTCATCACCGACGGATTCTAAGGCAACTGGCGAAAACGTCCCGATGCCGTCACTCTGTCTCACCAAGAATCAGATTGCTGCGCGCACTAGTGTTGGTAAAGACTTACCTAAGTTCAACGGCAAACCGGAGGACTGGCCTTTGTTCCTAGCCACTTACCAGCAAACTACCGAACTATGTGGGTTCTCCGAGGGTGAAAATCTTTTACGTTTACGACACGCTCTAGAGGGAGCCTCTCGGGATGCCGTCAGGAACTTACTCTTACCTACTTCATGCGTATCGCAAATAATCGACACGCTAAGAATGAAGTTTGGGCGCCCCGAGCTTATTATCGCTGTACTCGTGACACGAATCCGGGAAATACCAGTCGTAAAGGAGAACCGTCTTGAGGCTTTAGTCGACTTAGCCTTAGAGGTACAAAATGTTTGCGCAACAATGAAGGCTTCGAATATGCTGTGCTATCTCAACAACCCCGAGCTGGAGCAAGAGCTAGTGAACAAGTTGCCCGGACTTCTTGCCGCATTTTGGGGTATGCACAAGTTGCAGTTGTCTTCCTGCAATCTCGAAAACTTCGCGGACTGGCTATTTCAACTCGCCCAAGGAGCGAATAGTGTATTGGTGCCGTCCGTGACTTCAAAACCATCCACCAAACGTGGATACTTAAATGCTCACGCTGGCGATGTCAGAACTGGGAAACACAGCCCGTGCGTCATATGTCATGGAAAGTGTAGTACGACGGAGAATTGCAGCAAATTTAGGGCTGCGGATAGAGCGGAGTGGTGGAACTTAGTGCGTCTAAGTAATTTGTGCCGTCGCTGCTTAAAGGTACACCCTCGTCTTCAATGCCCCTCTGATGTCGTATGCGGGATAGATGGTTGCGTTTCCATACACCATCCCTTACTTCACAAACAGCGGAACAATCCAGTTAGCTCACCACTGGCTAACTCCACGCTAAACACTCATAGCTGCGACATGGAATCAGTTTTATTTCGGGTGCTACCGGTAACGCTTCACGGTAAGAACATAAAGATTAAAACATACGCGTTTTTCGATGACGGTTCGTCACTTACGTTGATGGACGCCGAACTACAAAAGCAATTGAGACTTTCGGGCACAGCACAGCCTTTGTGCCTGAAGTGGACAGCGAACACCCACCGTTATGAAGACGACTCCCAGGTGCTCGAGTTGAATATATCTGGGTTCAACGACAAAAGACGTTTCACGTTAACGAACGTGCATACAGTAAAAAGACTTGAGCTTCCAATGCAGTCTATCGATGCCAGTAAGCTTCAAACCAAGTACGCACACCTGCGAGGCCTTCCGTTGTCCTCCTACGTCGACGCCGTGCCGAAGCTATTAATAGGTCTGAACAACAGTCGCCTGGGCCTAAGTCTTCGATCACGCGAAGGGTCTGACAATGAACCGGTAGCAGAAAAGACACGCCTGGGGTGGACATTAAAGGGTGTCCTGGCAGCGCAACGACGAAATTCCGGCTACCATGCATTTCACGTTTGCGACTGTGATACCGCAGCAAACGCCGAGTTACTACAAACCATTAAGGAGTACGTTCTTTTGGATAATCTGGAAGTCGTTGGAAAGGCTGGCGATCTGATATCCAAGGAAGACAATCACGCGGTTGAGCAGCTCAAGTCTACTACCCGGCGTGTTGATGGTCGCTTCGAAACCGGATTAATCTGGAAATATGCTAACCACACGCTTCCCGACAGCCTACCGTTAGCCTTGCGGAGAGCGCAGTGTCTCCAGAGAAAGCTTACGCGTGACCCAGAACTCGCCGAGATTCTGTCATCCAAAATCGCAAATTATGTGGCTAAAGGATATGCTAAGGAACTGCCAGCCGATTCGCTGTTAGAAAAGGGGTGTTGGTACCTGCCCATATTCCCCGTACGTAATCCGAACAAGCCACAAAAGCTTCGCATCGTCTGGGACGCTGCCGCCAAAACCAGGGGGGTATCTCTAAATTCGATGCTCTTGAAAGGACCGGACCAATTGACCTGTCTACTATCTGTTCTAAGAAGATTCCGACAACGAGCAATAGCCTTGAGTGGAGACATAGAAGAAATGTTCCACCAAGTCCGCATCAGACGTGAGGATCAAAACTATCAGCGTTTTGTGTGGTTTGCACCCGGCGCCACTGAACCGTCAGTTTTCACGATGACAGTCATGACTTTCGGGGCCACCTGCTCACCTAGCAGTGCTCAGTACATAAAAAATCTGAATGCAGAGGAGTTCCGGAACCGCTTTCCGAGAGCCGTCGAGTGTATCGTCGACAACCATTATGTTGATGATATGCTTGATAGCGTGGACACAGTAGGTGAGGCTGTCAAGCTTGCCAGAGATGTCAAGTTCATTCATGGGGAAGGTGGTTTCCATATCAGAAACTGGCGGTCGAACTCCGAGTCGGTCCTGCAAGCACTGCACGTTGGTGCCAGTAAACCCGAAATGAGCTTGAGTCCTGATCCAGAGATACCAGCTGAGAAGGTTCTGGGCCTTTGGTGGCTCACCAGAGAGGATTGTTTTACATTTCGTGTGTCTCCGCATCACAAGCATGGGGATCTTCTGCGCAATCACCGTTGCCCTACCAAGAGAGAAGTATTGAGTATTATCATGAGTATATTCGACCCTTTAGGGCTACTTAGTTTTTACATCGTATACGCCAAGATATTATTCCAGAAGATTTGGCGCTCAGGTTGTGGCTGGGACGACAACATTCGCGATGACTATTACTCCGACTGGCAGAGATGGGTTCGCCTACTTCCTGAGGTGGAGACCGTAAGGATACCACGATGCTATTTCACAGATCTGAGCCACGCGTCCGAGCTGGAAATGCACGTCTTTGTTGACGCCAGCGAAAATGCCTACGCGGCCACATGCTACCTTCGTTACGCCATTGGAAGTGTCATCAATTGCAGGCTGGTAGGAGGTAAAGCGAAAGTAGCACCGTTGAAGATGCTCTCGGTTCCACGGCTCGA